AAAATTTAATTATAATGTTAATTTAGTGTAATTTTGACATTGAAAATCAAATTATGAAATGATTGATATCAATATTCTTAAAATAAAGTAAGATTTAGACATGATTATTTTTAAATTTCTATCTAAATTTCTTAACAATAAGTTATTTATTGAAATTCATTAATATTTTAAATCGTTCATGTTAGTTATACTCGAGTTTTAATGAAAACACCAAATGTTTAGCACTTTTGGGAAAAATATTTTAAAAATCACACACAAAAATATTCTGGGCATGTTATATATCAAATAAAACCCTAACTATTACTCTATAATTTGCTGAAGGAATCAATTAAAAATAATACAGGGTGTTCAAATAAACGAGAATCAAAATGGTATCGTTAATTAAAGGCTACCCTGTAATATTTTGGCCAGTGCATGATGTCGAATTGAAACGGTTCAGGCAATATGGCCATGTTTTTGGGTAAATATATTGCCAGCATAATACCGTATAAATTGTGCTAGATATTTCAAATAATTTTTTTGTTTTTGAAACCATTTCAATAATGATAGGCTATTTCTGGGCAATACGCCTGTCGTACAAGTGGGTGACTCGGAGCTCATCAAACAGATTCTCGTGAAGGACTTCTATAAGTTTGTCAACCGGACGCCTGTGTCTAACGCTAAGCACCCGATACTATGCGCGTCCGTGGGATCGGCCAATGGGGACGAGTGGCGACGCCTCCGATCGATAGTCAGCCCGACGTTCACGTCGGCAAAGATGAAGCGATTGTATCCATTGGTGGGACAGTCGGTGAACGCCTTAATTGATGTTATGGACACTTACGCCAAACGCGGGAATGGCGTAGAAGTTCGTCAAATGTACGGCTCGTATATTATGGATGTGATCGCCAACTGCGCCTACGGTATCAAAATCAACGCCTTTAAGGACCCCAACGATCCGTTTGTAATGAACGCCAAACTTGTAATAAATCAGTCGTTTGTGAAGTTGTTTTGCAATCTATTGTTACGGGAGTTTGTGTTGAATGTACTGAATCTCCTTTCGATGAAACTTCTATTCAATTCTTCGGAGGACTAGTCCGACAGATATTGAAAGCGAGACAAAACTCCGATAAGAAATACAATGATTTCATGAATATTCTGATGACTACTGAGAAAGATAGTAATGTGGACGAGAATGACATCCTTGAGTCACATCACGTGACTGAAGGTTTGCTTCATATATTTTTTAAAACTTTATATTTATAATAAGTTTAGAAAAATATCCATAAATATATTTATATGAGTTTATTACATCAAGTTATTAAACAATTATTTCAAAATGTAATACTCTCTCTCTCTCTCTCCCTCTCTCTCAATATATAATCGCATGGATTCTGACAGGAGGGGATGAGTTGGCGGTCGACAAGAATATTCTGGACAGAAATCACGCGAATAAAAAGTTAACTGAGAATGAGATCATAGCCCAGGCGTTCAACTTCTTTTTGGCCGGATATGAGACCACACGTAGTATCCTATCGTTCTGTACGTATAAGTTGGCACTCAATCCCAGGGCTCAGCACAAACTGTACGAAGAGGTGGTCTCTGCGGTCGACTCCGACGGACAGATTGAATACGAAGTGTTGGTGAGACTTCCCAAATTGGACGCCATCTTATCCGAGACACTGAGACTCTACTCGTCGGGGACTGTCATCAAGAGAAAGGCGTCCGAAGAGATCAAATTAGGCGACACCGGGATTACACTAGAAAAGGGAATGGCATTGAATATCACGGCTTACGCAATGTACCACTCGGACGAGTATTTCCCGAACGCAGAGGCCTTCATTCCCGAGAGGTTTTTGCCCGAAAATAGGCACCAAATCCTGCCCTACACTTACCTACCCTTCGGCAATTGCGTCAGTATGCGGTTTGCGTTATTGTTACCGAAGTTAGTGTTGGCTCACGTTATCCGTCGATTCCGGTTTGTGTGGACTTCCCAAACGGATGTACCGCTGGTTCTCAACAAATTCATTCGCCTAAAGTCACCCAAATCTATGATCGTTGGCATTGAATCCAGGGATTAATGTAATCAATGTCTACTAATCCCAAGTTGTGAACAAAACTGTAACAAACATAGCATTGACTTTTAAATCAACTCATAACGTGATTATATTTTTGTTCTGTTTATGTTACGTCTAGTGTTGCCAGGTATAGATCGCTTACACTTCGATGATCCTGGAGATTTGTTACATTTTTAGCTAGAATTGAAAATGATTTTAATTTTGTCCTGGAGGCTTTTATATTTATTAATTAAATTTATTAATAAAATTTGAGACAAGTCACAATTCCTGGAGACTTCAGGCCAAAACTAGAGGGTTGGCAACACTAGCTATGACCTGACACGTTATGAATTAATAGGAAACTCTGTGTTAATTTCTATTATTGTTTGTCCAACACATTTGGCATTAGTAATATCAAAGCATTGTATACTTTATTTAATCAGGATTAGTTTGTCCCAATAATGAATAAAATTTAACATTAAACAAAAATTTATTAAAATATTTAAATAATAATGTTCTAGTAAATATAAATATTTGAGTTATATATCTAATAATCTAAGTTTTAAAAGTTCATAGTTTTGCTATTTATATATTAACACTAATTAAGACGTTAAATCTTTTAAACATGTGAGTTAATAGATAAACAATTATCAAGCTTACTTGACAATATTGACCCAAATTAAAAATATTTTTGGCTTAAAGATAATGTCCATAGTTTACAAAATGTTAATATAATTTCCCGTAATTTACATCATTAAATAAGCTTATTAAATGATACATAAATATGCAAAAATTATTTTTGTAACGTCAATGGTTAAAAAGTTA